CGCCGGAGCTTGCTTGGGTGCCGAGTTGAAATATCCGGACAGACGCACACACATACACACACACACGCACACCGGGGTCGTCACAATATGCGTTTTTGCATTTGCATATTACGCAAAAACGCATAACTAATAATCATGTACGCTGGAAGTCCATTCGGCTCTATAATGCCTTCATCCAGCCGATGCACTTTCACAGCTAATATTACAGGTATTAAACTATAGCGTAGGGACTTTAAGTTCTAAGTGAACAGGGAAAATGCCCTCAAAATTTCAGCTTCCTAGTTTTTCTGGTTCCCGAGTTATCGAATTTTTCCGCCAAAAATTTTCACGGGGCCGTGCATGAGAACCATACATACCCGGGGCTAAACTTGATATTCTTAGCTTTCACGGAGGCCGGGTACATCCCCCTCAAATTTTAGCCTTCCAGCTGGGGTTAATAGAGGGGTGGTAATACTCTGGTTAATATTCTAAAACTGAATTATCGATCCCACTGTAATTTGAGCAACGACATTAGGCCCAGTTTAAGGATGGCTTTACTACTGGAGAATCGAATAAACGTACAAACAGAAATTTCGCCAAACTAATTCACCGAAAACGAATACTTGGAACCAGTTTAAAACCTGACTTCACCTCAATCTTTAGCTCATAAATTTCGAACAGCAGAAGTTTGCAATTTCGGGGTTTTGTCTGGTTAGAATGGTTAAGAATCAGCTTACCTTGATCTTAGCATTAAGTGAACTTGATCTGATCCTAAAACCATGCATCAGAGATTAATTGCTAATAAGGCTTCAAGGCGAAGTCGTCCTGATGTTATCGCATAAACACGAATGCGTGTATACACAGGCACATTCCCATCATAATGCGTCTTTATAATACGGGGTGCAAAACGCTCATAAACAAACTTATAAAAGCTTACTTGATGCTCCGCCCGGAATTCGCGAATATCAACGACTTGCCATGCAGGTGAGAAAACTCCAGCGATTGTGAGCCCAAGGCCACCCAGGATCAGAAGAATACACAGAGCAAGCAGTCCTTTCTGCACCGGTGTGCTACCCATCATCCAATTTCACTGTAACGAACTTAGTAGATAATGTTGAGTTAAAACAGAAATCGGTCATTTAGATTGCCAGTTTAGGTGGAGATCGGCTCTGTCTTACAATATACGCACGCATCGGTTATGCTTCATTTACCTGCTTCAAATAAAGTGAATGGCATTTGATTAGAATTTTGTATAAATAGCCTAGAAAATTTTCACGTACTAAAAGCCAAGTAATAACGCATCAGGCTTACTGATGCGATCATGCTTTTTTGTATGATTCCATTCCGTAAGGAGATCACCTACTGGGTGCAAAAGGAATGTGAATGCTGTGTTGCAACTTGAACATTTCATGCACCTGTGCGCAGGGCCCATGACTAAGCAGAAATTCATTTTACTCTGGGGATCTGCACGTAGACACCAAGTATTCTCAGAAAAATACGCCTTCCTATTCAGTTTTCTTACCGAATTAATTGTGTGCCGAATTAAGCTATTCATTTGTACGCACGCGTGACCTGTGCAGGCTTAAAACAAAATCTGAAATATATGGGTCGCACATGGGCGTAGAATATCCTCGTAAAATTCCAACTGCACGAATTAATTAGTTGGCGAAATTACCTTTTGTTACAAACATATCTAACGTTGTGATCCGCGGTGCAAGCGTGCGCCGAAGTTCATTTGCGCCTACATGTCCAAGCATAGGGGAAAAAAGAACTGCTTTCTTATTTTGCAATCTCAACTATGACATGACCGTGCAGGAGATGCAGGCGTGCGTTAAAGCTGAATTTGAAAACTTTACCCTACAAAAGGATATGGAACATTTCTGAGAAATTTCAACTTCATATCTTGTCTGACCTCTCATTTCGTTTTTTGCCCAAGGGGGAGCCCAAGTGTACTTAAAACATAATTTTAAAACGAGAGGGTTGCAAATGCGGCGCATGTTCCAAAAGTTTCAGCTTCCGAGCTTCTCTGGTGCTTGCACTGAAAGTAGGTAACAAAATGCGAACACAAAATCCTTCCGTGACTGCAGAAGCAACAATAGCATTTAGCGAATTGTTTCAACTGTTCGATAATCTGCTGTCCTTCTCTCCTTCTCTCTTGTTCCCACACCCATTTTAAAGCTACTCAAAGATACATTCTAAAGCAGAAGTAAGAAAAGCATTTGCAACTTTTTTAGTTAGAATCTACTCTGGGGGAGGTAGCAGTGCGAACAAGAGGGGAGAGGCAGGGTGTTAATGTGCGCATCTCCTTTGTGCGGTGTAGTGTGCAGACAGCTCTAACACCTGCTGCAAATCTAATTTTGCACGGTGCTGATTGCATGTAAACTTTGCAGTCACTGCAGCAGTGTAACGCTCCGGACTGGGGTTGAATTATGAAGCCCTTACTGTTTTAATAATGATATATCGTGTCTAACAAAGGCAGGCATTAACCAAAGTTGCGAAAATTCCAGGCAGAAATGCAATGTCCCGAAACACTACTGAACTGAGCAAAAGCTTTGAAACTATTTCATGGGATTTGGTACAGCCCCACACAGCACGTGGGTTATTGGTACCTGCTCGAGCACTGTCCCAAGTAGTATCTTTGTAAATATTAATAATTATGCTTTAAGAAGCGCATGCAGCTCTTCCATTAAATTTTATTCAAATACGTTCAGAAAGCCAGGGTGCAACGCACTAGCCTTGCCCATGCAGTCTCGCCTTTCTGCGCTGAACTTGCAGACGGCTAACAGTAGGAATGGTCCCTGCGCTGTAGTTTAACATTTGGGCTCATACTGGCTCTGTTTTGGCCTCTTTCCGCATGCAGGGAGAAAAGACCTCTGCTAGCATGAAAGTGTTGCATTACGAGATCGCATGGACTTCCGGCGTGCATGTTTATCAGTTTTTTGCATGAAGCTCGGCCGCATTTCCGGTGAATGCTCGTTCACTGAAAAAAGCGCAGATTTGAAGAAAGTTGGAAGAGGATTATGAAATCTGCAAAATTCACTCGTTTTTGAGTTTGCGATAAAATTGAGTATTTGTCATACTTACGTGAAGGTAATTTCATGTCCAAGCTAAATTAAGATTAAACGTAAATATAGAATATACTTGCAAGGTTTCAATTGCGCAACTTGCGTGGTAAGCGAAATAGCCACTTCGCTACAAATATCGTTGCAGTGTCTTAAGTCGTGGCGCAATTGCAAATCGACGCTCAATTTAAGTACACGATTTTGTATATGAACAGTAAATATTCTGACAAGATTTCAGCTACTGTTTTCCTGCTAGTTTTCAAGTTGACACAGTGTCAACTGCAAGCTTTGATACGACCGCACGTAAGCTACAAGCATTTGCGATAGTAGAATATTTCTTCAAAGTTTCAGCTTTTTGTCTTGTCTGCTTCGCGAAATCGTATCCCGCCAAAGAAATATGCATATTTTTCGCAGTTCCTTACTCGAGATCTAGACGCGTATAAGCGGAGATTTTAAAACATGAGGTAACACATGGAATGGGAATATAACCCAAAATTTAAGCCTCCTAGCTTTCATGGTTTCTGAACTGAAAGTAGGCGACAAAGTCCACTTGCTTTCGAACACACACAAACGAACGACCCCTTCTCACTGCAGCAAGGCTACTGAAAAATGTATTTTGACACGATCTGAAAAAGCTACATGATATGTCTATTGGCTCCCACAGCAAGTACTTAAAGAATTTAAAATATTTGACCAGTGCCTTGCCCTCCTCTTGTGCACCAAGGCTTCACAAGTACTAAAAATGGACAAAGCAAGAGCTGACACTGGAGACAAAAAGTTTCAAGGAATATTGTTGCGAAAATTGTGTACAACAGTCCGAACAAACAAAAACAATCCAGTAAGCACCGAAAAAATGAGAATCCGAATAACGAGAAACCCACACTCGAGCAATAAAGCTGCAGCGATTCCAAATTAGACTATGAGAAGTTCATCATGTTTAGCAACTAGAATGAGGTATTTCGAGTTCAGGAAGTAACATTTTGGCTATTCCAGTCAACGGACTGCTGAACAAAATGCCCCAGTGAAATCAAGCCCTTTGTCAAATGTCAGGGTTATCCAGCAACAATACTTTGGCCATTTAAAAGCCAGCAAAATCTTAACTGAATATTTGAAGTGGCTGTTGTTACATAACAGTAACTGCTCCTGGGTGATTTGTAACTGCAACTGTGCTCACTCACTATACGTCTGTCTCTTGAAGAACTATTGTTGACAGGCATGGACCACTCGGTATACTCTTCAGGTACACTCTTCAGGCACATCGTTCACATGGTATCGATCAACTCATCACTCCAAATTTAAATTTACTCCACGTAAACATTCGGAAATAAGTAGTTTCTCTCTACCAGGCTAAAGGATTCTAGACTGCACGTTTGCTACAAGGTTTAATTCCAAACAGTTGGTATGTAAGGGTAAAGTGGACGTAGTCCAACCGATTAGTATACCTAGTTCAAAAAACTCTTAGTTCAGGATTTCAGGACTGTAAAAGATATAATTTTACAGCTGTTTAATCACAAACGCCTAGATGTTCATGTATGCGGAAGAAACTTTGAACAAATGCGAATTATCAAGTTGTATTCATGGGATTCAGTTGGGTCGTCACATTTCAGGGCAGCAAAAAAATTAGTTCAAATATCAAACAGTATAATCTGAAAATACCAGCGCAATGAGGATGGGTGTGGAAAAGGAAGGTGGGGAGGAGTAACTTCCTCATTTCAAAATAATACATGCAGAATTCCGCTGTCTTAAAGCATAAATATTTTACAAAATTTCGAGTGGCAGTTTCTGATGCGAATAGTCATTTGCTAAAACGTTTCGAAGCTTGCCAAAAATACCCTTCAAATGCAATATTTTTTAGTACAGCTTTCATCTACCGCAATCCTGTACACCATAAGACATCCAAAAAAATTGCTTGTGTATCAGCTTAAAATCGCCAGCAGTTTTCCATAAGTGATGCCTTCCCTATGAATAAATTTACAGTTACAAGGAAAGCTTTAATTATTATTAACCAAAAACCACCATGTAAACAGTCAACTTATCCTTCTGTACAACCAAAATACAAAACAAAGGTCAGAGCAATTGGCTAATATAGTGGCATACTTTCTAATAGTCTGCTGAATTCGAGCTGCTTCTCAGCATTTTTTTTTTTTTTTTGTCAAAACGTTTTATTTCTGCTATAATTTTGTTGTCTCTTTTTAAAATCTGACGAAAAAACCTGTTCAAGACAACAGAGTTTTATGGAAATAAAACGAAAAGTAAATATGTCAACGAACCTTCTCGGCTTATTTTGGATTCTTTCCTGGAATAACAGCTTGCTGAACAAATATCAATTTACATAAATCGGATTTGCGTACGCTTCTCATTGCAGTTCCATACGCTTCGCAGCAAATGAACAACACATTGTCGCAGAAACCAAACTTTTTTTCGTTTGTCGAACGAGAAGTCGTAATTTTGGTTCAGAAAAAAAGACGCCCCGTCAAAAATCTCAGCCAGTACAGAAAATAAACTTCATTGATCACTACGGTGCACAGCAGAGAAGCAGGACAAAGCGGAATGGGCAGATCTGAATACTTGAATCTGCGCAAGATAAATTGCTTTCGAAAAAATGTAGCAATTACTGTATGGTGCTGAAAAATCTATTTTTTGAAAATTTGGTCAGCGATAGCGATGGTGCCCGACAATGACCAGCAGCAGCCAGTTCAAAGGCTCATACGCGCACAGTATCGATGAAGGATCAGCACAATCATAGTGATGATCTGGTTGACGATGACGACAGCGACAAAGACGACCTTGAATATTTTCATTATTTCCACAAAACCAATTTTGAATTAAAATGGAAGACGACAAAAATGGCCGTAACAGCAACTCGGTATTGACGATAACAGCGTCAACGACGAGCTAACGACGACAGAGTCAACTAAAACTGCTACACTCACAGTAAAATTAGCAATATGCAGAAAAAACAAGTGGAAAAGCAGCCTTAGCATAGTACTAAAATGTACATGAGCTCAACGCGCATTTT